TTCCCCGATTCCCCAACACTGCTCCCCTCCTCCAATTCCCCAATAAAATCTTTAAAAAAACAAAAAACATTAAGTCAGATCACATCACTCTCTGCTGAAAACTTTCCAATGACTTCCCATCTTGCTCAAAGTAAAATCCAAATTCCTAACAATAGTCAGAAGACCCTCTCAATCTGTCCCCCTCACTTACCCCATTTTAGCTAGTTGGGCCTCCTTGCTGTCTCCCAAACACCCCAGGTTATGTATTCACCTTTGCATTTGCTATTCCCTGTTTGGAACACTCTTCACTCTTCCTTCATTATGCACATGGCTCACTCTCTCATTTCCTTAAGTCTTTGCTAAAATGCCACCTTAAATAAGGCCTTCCACTCTCACCCTATTTAGAATTGCAAATCCCTATCCTCATTTTCTGATTTATTTTTCTCCCTAACATTTATCACCATCTGACATACTATCTACTTTACTTGTTTCACCTGCTCTCACTAGAACTGTGCATCTAACATGTGGCTATTTAAATTTAAATATAAATTAATTAATATTAAGTAAAATTAAAAACTCAATTCCTCAGTCACACTCATCCCATCTCAGTGGGACAATGCAGGGAATATGTCCAATAAAAAATGACACTGAATGGTCCTGCACTAAGAAGGTAAGCTCCATGAGGGCAAATGTTTATGTTTAGTTCACTGTTGTATCTCCAGTACTTTGAACAGTTTGATATACAGGTGTTCATTAATATTTATTAGATGAGTGAATTAAATAAATACAACTAAGAAATGAGTTGACATACTAGCAAATCAAATCCGGTATTATATAAAAAGGGTTATTCAAAAGTTAGATTCATCCCAGGAATGCAAGGTTGGTTTTTAACATATAAAAATTCACTGTAATAAACCATATTAATAGAATAAAGGACAAACAGCATGTGATCATCTCAATAAATGTGGAAAACACATTTAACAAAATCTAACACCCTTTCATGAAAAAAAAACTCAACAAACTAAGAACAGGTAGAAAATTCTTCAACCTGGTAAAGGCATTTACGAAAACCTACAGCTAGCATCTTTCTTAATGGTGAAAGATGAAATGGTTTCCCACTAAGATCAAAAATATGGATATCTATATAGACAGAAAATAGATTAGTGATTGTCTAGGCTTGGGCGGGGAGGGGTGGGTGACAAAGGAAAAATGGGAAGTGACTACTAATGTGCGGAGTTTTTTTCCCAGGGTAATACAAATGTTCTAAAATAAATTATGGTGATATTTGCTCAACCTGTCAATATACTAACAAAACACATTACACTGTACATTTAAAATGGGTAAATTTTATTGTATGTGAATTATATCTCAAAAAACTGTTAAAACTTGTCTGTTCCCCCAATTCCCCAGCACTGTCCCCATCCCCCAATTCCCCAATAAAAATCTTTAAAAAAAAAAAAAAGCTGCTAGATGTCTCCAAGTAGAGACATGCCAAGTGGCAGGTATAAAATATCAAGGACTGGTGGAGACTTTGATGAACTGGAGAAAGCATATTCAAAATCAACATCTAAAAGCAAACAAAAAGTGTTCCCATCAAACAAGCCAATGCAACAAAAAACAGCCTGCCACCAGCCTTGAAACTAGTCAATGGAGAATAAAATGATGATGAGAAGCCATCCTGATAGAAATGTCCACCAGTCCAGAGTAAACGCATGTCTGAAGCTCAGGAGAGGGAGAAAGGCATGAGTTTTGATTTGTGAGTTAATGGATAAATGATAGAATCTCAAGATTGAGGATCATGGAGTTCAAGGACTCATCTATGTGGCAAAGATAGTTGAGGCTCTGGAAGAAGATGAGAACCAAGGGGTTAGGGCAGAAGGAGAACAGAAGCATCTCCACGGTGGGTCCTTAAGGGGCACCTGTTCCCTGGGGATGGGACAAGAAACAGGAGGCTGAGACGTGGATGGAGAAGTAGGTAGTGAACTGAGATAATACAGTGCCCTGAAAAATCTAAGAGGAAAAACATTCAGGAAAGGGGAAATAATCCTCAATATGAAATGTTCAGTATAAAATACTGTTCCCTTCTCAAAGACTCATTCATTTCAAATACCTTTCTCTCAACCGTGATAACTTCTGTGATAGCGGCCTACAATGTAAAGTAAAAAGAACCCCATCTGTTCCTAGATCTTTGCTGCCTTCCCCTTTGCCCCAAGGCACGTCCCCACACCTGCATCATAGCTAATAGGCAAAGTGCTATTTCCAAGCACCACGTTGCCCCATATGTGAGCAGATGTAGGTGACACAGTGTCTTAGTTCTATAAGATCTCTCAGAATCCCACCTGCTGTCCTCTTTGGTGACATCTGGAACTGCCCAGAGAAACCAGGTTTTCATGGGCATCGCTCACCTGTCTCTGGGAAGCTGGGAGGCGAGTAGTGAGAGTACAAAGTAAGCAGAAAAGCTTCCCCAGGTGCAGACATAGAGGGGAATCAAGAAAGGAGACAGAGTACCCTGAACATCCTTCTCAAAGCCATAAATCTAGAACTGAATTCATTTTATGGTTCCAACATCATCACTGGAGCCAAAATGATGCCTAAATCACCCAACTTGTATCCCAGATGACAATGTGCAAGGTTAGTGATTTTGCTTTAAAAATAAATAATTTTTCTCCCTGCTTCATTGAAAAGATGAAACAGTGAATACAAAAAAAAAAAAAAAGCTGCTAAAATAATATAACTATAGGATATCAGGATGAGCTTTTCAAACAGACCTGTGCCTTTATAACTATATTTTAGAAAAAATTTAAAGTGAGCTTCACTGAAAGGAGTATCAAAAATTGTTAACAGCTGTTGCCCTGGAGTGGGAAGGTGATGACTGGCTTTTTTCCTAAACTGTCATTACTGGTTTGTATCTGCAAACTGTCATTATTAGTTCATAAGTGCAAAACTTGTAAGAATTTAAATACATACCCAGTAAGGTTGGGGCAGCATTTCATCTCCAGGAGACCTGTCTGATCTAATGCGCATGCATAGATATCAATAACATGACCAGTCGTAGCAGCTCGATTAGCCAATGCTTCAAAATGCTACAAAAGATTTTTTTTATCAAATAAAATCAAAGTAATGTACAAACTTTATCATCCTATAAATCTTTTTTCCCATTAATAGATCAAAATGATCTAATACCAAAAGAATAATATATAATGATTTAAACGTGACTTGTTATAATTTGTTATATGTTTCAGAAAATGATACAATAACTTCTATAAGTCTGATACTTTCACATCCTTTTCTTTAAAAGCCATTCTTTCTAAAGATAGTGGTCCCCCCCTTATCCACAGGGGATACTATAAACTCCTAAAATATGCTAAACATGAAGAAAGGTATACTGAACCTCTTGCCCTTGGCACATAAATTTGGTAGAAGATTCATAACACAGAATTTTTTCTGGGCTAAATCCAACCCAAGTAACAAAAACAACAAAAATAGGCAATAACAAAAGCAGTAAGATAAACAAATATAAAAAAATTTTTGAAGCTCTAAGAAGAATTCCAAGCTCAAAGGGAAATTAAGTGTCAGGAAAAAAACACATCCATTAATAGTCACAAAAATTATGTTATTAATTACACTTTAAAACAGCGGTTCTCAACCTTCCTAATGCCGCGACCTCTTAATACAGTTCCTCATGTTGTGGTGACCCCCAACCATAAAATTATTTTCGTTGCTATTCTATAACTGTAATTTTGCTACTGTTATGAATCGTAATGTAAATATCTTTTTGTTTTCCGATGGTCTTAGGCGACCCCTGTGAAAGGGTCATTCTACCCCCAAAGGGGTCGCGACCCACAGGTTGAGAACCGCTGCTTTAAATAAATAAAATAATGACTTTCAAAAGGAAATACGAGATAATATAGCACAACTAAATTAAAATTATGAACTCCGGAGAATTTTTTAAAAGGGGGGACATTAACAAGGAAAACCAATACGAGAGTCAAAAATCAACATTAATGAAAATTTACTGTCACGAACAAATAAAATTAAAGTTACATAAACAGAAAACAGCTCACAAAAAAATGATGGGCCATTCAAGCTACAAAAAATATACATATCTAAAGTACAGCCTCGTGGAAATGAAAAATCAGAAAATGCAAGATATTTTTCCTTAATGGAAAAACATTCTTTAACGTGAATATTTAAAAAGGCACACAGGGTTTCCCTCAGGAGTAATCTTTAAAGAGATACCTGTTGGTGTCTACTATTAAGTTTTTAAACATTTAAAACCAGAAAAATCATAACTTAAATTATCAAGTAGGAAAAAGACTATTTCTCCAATTCTGAACAGCAGCTACAGTATGACTTCGCAATATCAGATTTCTTACTGTAAAATATTTGTATTCTTCCTCATTGATCAAATGCATTTTTCTATAAGGAAAAAAGACTTAAAAACCAAAATTACCTTGGTTCCCTTTTTAACATATTTGGCATTGTCTTTTTCAATGTCATGCCATGATCTTATAGGTGTCTTCAACTCATCTCCAACCACCATTCCAGGCCCCTGAGTGGCTGGACCGCCAATGAACATCATGATACGAGCACCAGTGTTGGGAAAAGTACACTATCAGAAAAAAGTAACTTGTCAAAGCGTTTAAAGGAAAACATATGGATGTACATTTCTGATAATGAATTCAGAGATACTCTTTCTAGAAAACAGGAAAGCATACATTTTCCAAGAAATAAAATAATCAAACATTTAAAATAAAATTTAAAAACAAGGTGTTCATTTGAATATCTTTCTTTTAAAATCCTCTTCTAAATAGTGCCTCCCAAATTTTAAAATAAAACCTGACAGACACCACTTTAACCAAGTGATCAAAGCTAACTAACATCAGCAGTAATAAAACAAAATGACATCATGGGCTCCCTAATGTGTTGCACTAAGCAGAACACAAATCAATTCTGTAATATTCCTGGAAAAGTACATAACTTACATGTACTAATTAGCAAAGATACAATATACCCAAATTTAGAGTCATGCTACAAAATAACTAGCCTATACTAGTAAAAAATAACAATGTCATGAAACACAGAAAAACTGAGAAACTAGTCCAGGTTAAAGGACATAAAGAGACATGACAACTTAATGTAATGCATAATCCAGGATTTTCTTCTGCTATAAATGGGTATTACTGGCGTAAATGGTGAAATCTGAATAAAGTTTACAGATTAGAAAATTGTATTACATCAATGTTAATTTCCTGATTTTGTTAACTGAACTGCAGTTATGCAAAAGATTTTTTTCTGTAATTAAGAAATACATAGTGAAGTATTTAGAAATGAAGGTATTCATGTTTGTAACTGACTTTCAAATTGTTTTTTAAAATTTATATATGTGTTAGGGAGCATTTCAGATACTGCTTCCTGGCAATAATCATCAGTTTTAGCTCAAACAAACTTATAAAAATTCTCAAAAGACAGTAATAAAATTTATACATATGTAATATATAAATATCTACAGCTCTACATAAATATCGAGACAGAGAAGGATAAAGAAAATGTAATAAAACATTAACATTTGAGGAATACATGTAGAAGTTCAATTAATCTTTGAACCATCCTCATAATTTTTCCATGTTTGGAACTAAGTAGAAAGTTAAAAGAATAATGATAGGAACAGATTATAACTCACTGTATAAAACGGGAAACCATGAATTCATAGTGATATTAATAAATAAATGAGTTGAAAGTTTGATGAGTAATGGAATATTTCAGGTTTCAAAAATCCTCACCATCTAGTGCTTATTAATTACAAAGTGGGTCGGGTAAAGAAGAGTAATTTTACAGTGGAGAACCTTGCAGGTACAACCTTAATGAGTGATCGAAGTGATCATCAGTAATGGGGCAAATGAGAATCATGTGCCACCTGACAGGATGCCACAAGAACACAGTATTACTTGTGATATATGCAAGACCTGAAGCTGATTGTGAGGATACATCAAGACAAACCTAAATCAAGAGACATTCAAAAAAATAACAGGCCTGAATCTTCCAGTGTCAAGGTTACGAAAGTGAAGGAAAGGCTGAAGAACTGTTCTAGAGTACAGGCCACTTAACAGACATAACTACTAACTGTATGCCTCTGAAACAAATCCTGTTAGTAAAAGAAATATTGGAATAATCTCCAAATTGAATGAGGTCTGAGAATTACATGGTAGTAATGTATCAGGGTTAATATTGTGATTTTAATAGTTGTACTGTGGTTATATAGGAGAAAATTCTGGTTTACAGTAAATACAACCAAAGTATTCAAGGGGTTGAGAACATCATGTCAGCAACTTAATCTCAAACAATTCAGAAGGGGGAAAAAAGTTATTTGCAACTCTTCTATAAATTTGATAGCATTTCAAATTTTAAAAAACATATTTTTCAACTTTCTTTTCTAATTATAAAGCTAAGATACGTGTAGTACAAAATTTCCAAATTCCACGTAAAAGTAAAATTCCCTTTATTCTACCATTGTTAACATTTGGGTGAGTATCCTTCCAGAAGCCTCTCTATGCACAAAAGGATATATTTCGGATCAAACTTTAAATAAAATCATGTACTTTTGCTCCAATGACCTGATTTTTTTCACTCAACATTATCTTGTACATATCATTCCATACACACATATACATTTACATTTCAAAACAAAGCTACTGTCACTACCTCAAGTAGTCCTACAGCTATGGAAAGTGCCACCCCAGAGGAACGCAAAGGTCTCTTTCCCTGTGGTACAGGCCACGGGTCTCGCTGCAGTTCTCCCAGAAGATCTGTGAGATTCATGTCTATCTTCTGTACTGGCTGCAAGAATCTACAAAACAAAATAACAAGCCATTTATTTGCAGGTCAGGGTTTAAGAAGCGAACTATTTTCTTAAAAATAAAGAAAAATAATTTGAATACACGGTGGATCAATGGTTCTCAAAACTACTGTGTAAGTCAGAATCAGTAGGAGGGCTTGTTTTAACAGATTGCTGGTTCCAGAGTGTCATCACTCCAGGAGGTCTGGGGTGGGGCCCTAGAACATGCATTTCAAATAAGTTCCCAGGTAATGGTGACACTACTGGTCCAGGAACCACACTTTGATATAAATCAATCAAACCAACTATTACTTCAGGAACTGCATCTTTATTTACCAGTATAGTAAGCTTTAAGGTTATTGAAATAATTATGAGAAGATACATCAACTCAATTTTAGTAATACTACCTCGTATTAGCGAGTTTAGGGGGAACAGCTACCTCTAAGGCTAAGACAGCAAAATGAAAAGTTTTTGAGGCCCTGTTATTGGCTGGCTGCCCTCAACCACAAAAATTAAGTTTTTCTGAACTTAAAAACAGGAAATCAGGAATATATCAAAACTAAAATAACTCCTTACATTATAATGATGAGAAACCAACCATTTCAGTGATACGATTCTGCCTCAACTCTTTAAAAAGTATACTAATGTAACCAATTTATATTCCTAAAAATATTTGACAATATAGTACGATTGAATGTCTATGTTCAAGTTAAGGGGATGGGATGCTTAAAATAGCTGCATGAATTGTCAAATTCTCTGCCATATTCAATTATTTATTACCTATTGGAAGGAGGCGGCTGCTGTACCTGAGGACCACGTGTTGCTTGAGTAACAGGTACTTTAGCGAGGCCCAGCATTTCCTGTAAAGAGATAATGTCTGTGATATCCATACAAAGACATTTCAACTATTTACCATCTGCAAGTTGCTGTGCTAGGCATTAGGAACACCAAAACAAAGAACACACAGTCTCCTTCCTCAGAAAGCAAAAGGTCCAGTGGGGAGGCTGTCATTCACACAATAAGAATACATACAGTGAAATAATCAAAAAAGACGAAAGTACAAGGTGCTATGTGAGCAAAGAGGGATACCAGCGCAGAAATATTTTATTTCTAATTAACAGACAAATTAACTTACTGTGTAACTTGAATGTCTACATTTCTTAACTTGTATTCATTCATCCCTTTCAGTAACAATATCACAAGTACCTGCTATGTGCCAGGTGTCTAATGGCAAAAATATATATATAGTTTCTGACCTTACAGGAATTAAAATCTGGTGAAAGAGACAGGGGTTCATAAAATATTTAAGTGAAATTTCAATTGTAATAAGTGTTATGTAGGAGGGGTACATGGCATTGTATTAAAGCGGAGTTATAAGGTATACATACTTTGTACCTCTATACTTGTGAATTTTTGGACTCAATACCTAGCCAAACTGCCAGGTTTGTTTTGAATTTTAGAAGTGTGAACTATTCCTCACTAACATATGAAAATAATGTTATTTTACTAAAGTTTGATTGAATCTAGAAATGCTCAGTCATGAACAGAGTAAAAGTATATAACAGAAAATCAGAACATCTACAGATCTGCAAAGAAAAAGTTATTGAACTAATCCTGCAGTATTTCCCATACTGCTAGCAGGCACAGCAACTTTGTACTGAAGACTTACTTATTATGTGCTAAACTCTTTACATACTATTTCCTCACAAAACAATAATGAAGTAGATTTCTTAATCCCCGTTTTACAAATGAAAACTGACACTCAGGAAGGCTAAGTAACTTGCCTAAAGTTACACAACTAGTAAATGACAAAGCAAGGTATTAATCCAGGTTTTGCTACAAAGCCCTACAATAATTTACACTATACTGAGTATTCTCACTCATATTATTTTATTTAGTAGTAATAATAACCTTGCAAAGTAGGTATAGTTTATACCTTTCCGTACAGGATGAGAAAACAAGCAGAGATCAACCAAAGATCACACAACTGGAAGAGTTTAGAATTTCAATCCAGGGTTATTTGGGGAGCAAAGACCAGACTCTTTTCAACCACATAGTTAGAGAGGGAAGATAACATTTTAATGGAGCAAAAAACTTTAGTCTGCAGGCATTCATTGCCTGTTTCAAACAGGCAGATGTTTTATGTGTTATATGTGTATTATATTATTTAGGTAAAATGTACTCTATAATCAGAACTAACGTGAAACCACTTTAATTGGGGAGGGGGGACATGATAGTTTGATCATTTTTTTAATTTATTAAATATATTGGGGTGACATTGGTTAATAAAATTATGTAAGTTTCTAGTATACATTTCTATAATACATCATCTATATATCACATTGTGTGCTAACCACCCAGAGCCAGTTCTTTCCATCACCACATGAGACCTGACAATTAAGTTAGCGAACTTGTTGCAACACTGTTGCTAACCTTTTTTTTTGGTATCAGAGGAATTATTCATTATGAATTCGTACCAACTGGACAGTTAACCAAGTTTACTACCTGGAAGTGCTGAAAAGGCTGCATGAAAAAGTTAGACAACCTGAACTTTCCACCACCAATTCATGGCTCTTGCATCACCACAATGCACCAGCTCACATGGCACTGTCTGTGAGGGAGTTTTTAGCCAGTAAACAAATAACTGTATTTGAACACCCCCCTACTCACCTGATCTGACCCCCAGTGACTTCTGTCTTTACCCAAAGATAAAGGAAATACTGAAAAGAAGACATTTGGATGACATTCAGGAAATCAAGGATAACATGACGACAGTTCTGTCGGCCATTCCAGAAAAAGAGTTCCAAAATTGCTTTGAAGGGTGGACTAGGCGCTGGCGTCGGTGCATAGCTTCCCAAGGGGAATAGTACTTTGAAGGTGGCCATAGTGATATTCAGCACTTTATCTAGGATGAGTTCATGAACTTAATTGTCCAACCGCATATACTTAACCTCCTCTCTTCCCTCTTCTACCGTCTCCCTGCCCCCCTTACCCTCTGGTAACCACTAAACTGTTTTTTGTGTCTATGAGTTTTTGTTTATCTTGTTCCTTTGTTGCATTCAATTTTATATCCCACATATGAGTGAAGTCATGTGATTCTCAACTTTTTCTGACTTAATTCGCTTAGCATGATAATCTCAAGATCCATCCATGTTGTCGCAAATGGCAGTATTTCATTTTTTCTTATGGCCAAGAAATATTGTATATATGCACCACATCTTTATCCAATCATCCATCAAAGGACACTTTGGTTGCTTCCACGTCTTGGCCACCATGAATAATGCTGCAATGAACATAGGGGTACATATATCTTCACAGATAAATGTTTTCAGCTTTTTTTTTTTTAAGATTTTATTGGGGAATTGGGGGAGGGGAACAGCGCTGGGGAATCGGGGGAAGGGGAACAGACAAGTTGCTGTTGTTTTGTTCTTCAGTCTAGTTGTGGAGGATGTTGCTTCACTGGCCCAAGCTGGCACCATCATTGTGCTCTTCCTGGGCGAGGCAGATCAGTCGCCAGCTTCTGGATGGCCGCTCAGAGCGGCTGCTGGCCACTCACGCTGGCTGCTGGCTACACACGGTAGCTTATGGCAGCTCACTGCAACAGGGGCTGCAGCCTACGCCATTGCCGGCAACCCACAGCAGTCCAGCTCCAGGTTGAGCTGTTGTTCAGCATCTTAGCTGTAGAGGGCAGTGTCACTGACCCTCATATGTGGGATCCGAACCGGGGCCCTCTGGCATCCCAAGCCAGTTCTTAACCAACACGCCACTCAGCCAGCCCTGTTTTCAGATTTTTGAGATACCCAGAAGAGGGGTTGCTGGGTCATATAATAATTCTATTCTTAATTTTTTTAGGAACCGCCATACTGTTTTCCATAGTGGGTATACCTATTTACATTCCCACCGGCAGGTATGAGGGTTCCTTTTTTCCAAAGCCTCTCCAATACTTGCATTACTAGTCTTGATAACAGCCATTCTCACAGGTATGAGGTGATCTCATTGTGGTTTTGATTTGCATTTCCCCAATAACTAGTAAAGTTGAGCATCTTTTCATATACCTGCTGGCCCTTTGTATGTCTTCTTGGGGGAAGTGTCTGTTTATGTCCTCTGCCCATTTTTAATTGGATTGTTTGTTTTTCTGTTGTTGAGTTGTATGAGTTCTTTATATATTTTGGGTATTATACCCTTATCAAACGTGTTATTTACAAATATCTTCACCCATTCAATGGTTGCCACTTTGTTTTATTGATGGTTTCTTTTGCTATTTAGTTTGCAGAAGCTTTTTAGTTTGATATAGTCCCATTTGTTTATTTCAGCTTTTACTTCCCTTGCCTTTGAGGTCAGATTCATAAAATCCTCTCTGAGCCCAAGGTCCAAAAGCTTAGCACCTATGCTTTCTTCTATGCAGTTTATTGTTTCAAGTCTTATGTTTAGGTCTTTGATCCATTTTGAGTTAATTTTGGAATATGGTGACAAATAGCCTAGTTTCATTCTTTTGCATGTGGCTTTCCAGTTTTCCCAGCACCATTTAATAAAGAGGTTTTCTTTTCTCCATTGTATGTTTTTGGCTCCTTTGTTGAAAATTATCTGCCCATATATATGTGGGTTTATTTCTGGGTTCTCAATTCTATTCCTTTGGTCCATGTGTCTGTTTTTCTGCCAATATCGTGCTGTTTTGATTACTGTCGCTTTGTAGTATAAATTGAAGTCAGGGAGTGTGATACCTCCAGTCTTGTTCTTTTTTCTTAGAATTGCTTTGGCTATTTGGGGTCTTTTGTGATCCCATGGAAATCTGATTTTTTCTGTTCTATTTCTTTAAAAAATGCCATTGGAGTTTTGATGGGGATTGCATTAAATCTGAATATTGCTTTAGGTAATATAGACATTTTAACTATGTTGATTCTTCCAATTCATGAACACAGACTATCTTTCCATTTGTGTCTTCTTCAATTTCTTTTAATAATGTCTTATAGTTTTCAGTGCATATGTCTTTCACATACTATGTTAAGTTTATTCCTAGATATTTTCTTTTTGTTGCAATTAGAAAGGAATTTTTTCTTTTTTTTATTTCTTTTTCTGAAGTTTCATTATTAGCATATAGCAATGCAATAGATTTTTGTACACTGATTTTGTATCCTGCAACTTTACTGTACTTGTTTATTGTTTCTAATAGTTTTTTGGTGGTGTCTTTAGAGTTTTCTACATAAAAAATAAATCACTTTAAATAAATTTACAATTTAAAAATAACAGTAGCAAACACTTAAAAGGCACAATCCATTTAATTCTCATGACCACCCTATAAATATATTTACTATTCTTACCTCCCTAGATGAAAAAACTAAGGCACAGAGAGGTTATACCTTGCCCTCTTTCTCTCCTGTCTCATGGAAATAGATGATCCTCCTCTCCAAAGTACTCAGCTTTCTGTGCTCCTATTAGGATTCCCTATCATGTCTTTGGAAACCTCACTGTCCTCATCTCACTCTTGCTTTCAAAAACCCTCGTTAGTGTCTTTCCCTTCTGTGCATAAACACATTCAAGTGTCCCTCCTAAACGAAACCTCTTTAACTCAGTTCTCTCTCAGATCTCCACACTATCACCTTCCTTATTTGCCTTCAACCACCACCCCTAGAAAGAACACTCTAATTTTCTCCACTTCCTCAAATCATATTTCCTTCTCATTCACTGTGCACTTCCCTCCTTATCCAAACCTGCAAATTCCTCCAGTTTTTCTATCTCCATTAACTGCAGCACCACTACCCCAGTGTGCCAAACTCCATATCAGAGTCTTCCTCAAAATCTTTTCTTTCTCAGTTTGGGCTACCTGGGTGCCTCCAAAGTCTGATTTCATGTCTGTCTACGTTATACCAGGCTTATCTACCATCTTTGATGTAATGGTTCTCAGTTGAGAGTTGTATGAGAACCACTTAGAAAGTTTTTCAAAATACTTACATGAGCAATCCTACCCTCCCAACCACCTCCCAATACAAGCACATGTTCACTCACTCTCTCATGGTCTATCAACATCTCTGGGCAGAAAAAAAGATTTTGGAAAATGTCCCCAGATGATCCTAGTATGCTACACATTAACTCCCATCTTGAAAAGTAAAGCTTCAATTTGCCCCAAAGATAAAAATGTACTAGTGTATGAAATATATATTTATACCCATAGTTCTTATATTAAAAATTCTGAAGCCTTAAAGTATCTCCCTTTGCCAAACATGAAGTGTTTAGTTAAGTAAGAAATCAAGAAACAAAAGCGAATTTTCTGTGGTTGCTTTCTCTGTCTTTACTATGACTCTTCTATAAGATTCAATCTCTAGTAAAATGCTTTCGCTTTCACCCTAAATTTTAAAGATACAATGAAAAGTGAAAGATCTTCAATCTGTATGATAATAATTTAAGGCAACTGAAAGAAAACTGATGCTAAATGTAAAGACTTTGTTACAATTTAATTAGTCAATTATAATGAAATATTTACTAAAAACTTATAACCAGAATACATATATACAGTGATGCTCACAGATAAATGGAAAGTACCATTTTTTGTTGTTTACCTGTAGTTGTTTGGCAGACAGATCTTTTGTTCCTCTGAAGACATAGCTTTTTGAAATGCCCTCACATCCAAGTTCATGAACCTGCACCATTCTCCCAAAAGTAATAAGTCCAACCAAAGCTGTAGGTGGTAAAAGACTTAATGACATCTGCATAGATTCTTTCAGGGCTTGTAAATCTTCATCTTCCATGCAAGTATCAACCACATACAGGAATATCAAAGGCATCTGAGGACCACGCTGTTAAAAAATGTTGCCATAAGAAAAAAAAAATGCTGTTTTAAGAGTATTAACACTTCAGCATAATATATAAGCATAATCAATAGAGGACTAATTAAAAATAATTTATGGTACATTCATACAATAGAATCCTAATAAAGCCATTTCAGAAACAAAACAGGTTATACATGCATGAAGAGTCTCATCCAAGACATATAATCAAGTGAAAAATTAAGTTTAAAAACATTATTTACGGCTACATAGAGGAGACATTCACTTTTGATTTTATTTAAGTGCATGAGATTTTATTTCTTATAAATGCATGAGGTTTGATTTCTTATTTCTTTTAAAATAAAAAATATATATTAACTACAAAGCTTAAAAACTGCGGTGAATTTATAAAATAATTGTTTAAGCCTGAATTGCACTGTAAGAAAACTAGAAACTAGCCAGGCCGGACAAATTACTGACTGGCTTACGTGAATCATATTCTGCTTTCTCTACAATATTTATAAAGGATATTATTATTTTCACTCTTAAATATAGAAACTACATAAAGCTAGCTGTTCAGAAAGAGAAAAAATTGATTTTCCTATCAAGGACCAACACAAGAATTATTTTATTAACTAGACATGGGAATATATCATCAGGTTCCAGTATTATATTAACTAAGTATTTGTAAACTGACCTTCTAACTACAAAGCATATTTTACTGTTTATTGATCTATTCAGTATAGACTCACACCATCTATCCAATATCCTGGCCACCCATCAAATAAGTACAACAGAGATATTACCTTGCTTAAAATGACCTTGAGAGGTTGAGGTCTTACCTTTGAAATGCTCCACCAATTCAATGTGAAAATCAAGAATGATGCCTTTTAAGTCATCTTAATTTAACAATTATTTTGGTATAAATTACTAGATATTTAAAATTTCCTTAAAGATTTATTTTTATGTTCTTACCAGAACTACATATTCAATGCTAGAAAACTGAGGTAAAAGTTCAGCAGGCTGATTCAGTTCAGATATACCAGCATAAGTAGGTGGAAACTACAGATAGGAAAAAAAGAAAAAAAAATAGCAAATTATTTGCCAGAAAGAATAATGAAATTTTAAACTAAAGATAAATATTTCCTGATCATTAAATTATTAAAAAATATTTTCATCATATAAAAAAAGATTTCATCTTTCTTTTTAAATATACATATTTAGACCAGTATTACAGCATTAACATCTGCAATGAGGGCTTTCTTACCTGATTCCTTTGATAACAAAAGTTGCAAGCCCAGAGTTTTGCTCGATAATCCACTTGACTGTTTTAAGAAAAGATATAATACTCATGTTTCAGTTCAATTTTACAATGATTCTAATCTCAATAAAATTTATTTCTAAAACATGAATCATTAACTTGATAGTCAAAGTGATCTTTAAAAGCCTGGCAGTTTTTAAATGTTGTCAATATCTAATCCATACTTTTAACATATACAAGTTTACCGAAATGAATATAACTTTTAATAAAATAGCAAATATCAATAAAATTAAGATAATCCTATTTTTTCTTTAAATGACTTAATAACTTCTACTTAGATATAGAAAACATTTATTCAATTCAAAAATATATTTATTGAATGCTTAATATGTAGCAGCTACTATTTTAGGCTCTGGTGACAGTAAACAAGACAGCAAAGGTCCCTGGTCTCATTGGGTATATATTCTAGAAGAGAAAGACAGATAATAGACAAGTAGATACATAAACACAGAAGGTACTTTTAGATGGTGATAATAAAGATTAAAGAAAGCAAAGCAGGAATGTGACAGTGTATTTGGGAGGGCTACTTTAAAGGAAGGCCTCCTTAAACAATTCAAATATATATGGCCTAAATGAAAAGAACTGTCATAGGAAAATCTGGGGGCAGAGCAATCCAGGCAGAATACAGTTACTGCACAAGTTCCAGGTAAGAATAAGATTTAGTATATTTAAAAATCAGAAAGAAGGTAAGGTATCATGTAGATGAGAATAAGGAAAACAGATGATAAAAGATAAAGGCAGAAATACATAGAGGCTAGATCACGTAGGGCTTTACAGGTCTTCATAAGGGGTTTGGATTTTTCATTCCAACTATGGTAAGAAACTATTGGAGGATTTTAATAATCTGATATCCATTTGAAAAACTTTAGCTTCTGGGTTGAGAACAGACTAGGGAAACCAGTTAAAAGATAATGAAACTGACCAGAAAAAAGATAGTGTATCTTGAAGTAGAGTGTGCTAACAGAGACGAGTATAAGAGACAGAATTAGTAATATTCTGGAGGTGGAATCAACCAGATTTGCTAGTGGGCTAGGTGGGGAAAGAGGGAGTAGAAAGAGGAATAAAAGAGGATTCCTGGGATTCTGTTTATGCAACAAGAAATCATAACATTTTTCAAACACCGTAACATTTTTCAATCATGACTTATCCAATGACATGAAATGGGTTGATACACAGCCAGCACCAGTACCTAGAGAATACTAATAGGATCTAATGGTTTATATAGGGATAGTTTTACATTTGGTCTCTTAACACCTCACTACTCCTAAAATATTATAGCTCTTTGGATTTGACTATCCTAATTTGAAAAAAATAACTACAAACAAAGACAAAGACATTTGTATATAAATGAGCAAGAAATAAACTACATTTTTAAATCATACTGTCACATTATAGTTTTTTCTATGTATTTTAATTACCATAAAGGATTCAAAACTGCACGGCAAGTGGTCCTACTACATAAAACAGGTTCATATTGAATAGGTGGTAAATCGGGTCTCTCCTTCAGTGGAGTAAACAGGGCTGCTACTGGAACAACCATTCTTGTAGCTTCTAGTCGGCTGGATGGCCAAACATTCCAACTAAATCGGACTCCATCTCGTTCTTCATTTTGTTGGATGAATTCCAAATAGGTTGTCATTGTAGAGCTTGCTTCTTATTTCTGTAACAAAATCAAAAGACATTTTCAAATTCTCTTAATAAAATTCAAAATAAGTATGTTTTCCCCACTTTCAGCAATATTAATCCACTAGAAATCATAACTAAATGAAAATACTTATCTCAGAAAAAAATTAGTAAGCAACAATAATCCCACTGATAACAAAATAATAAATGCCTCTACTGAACCCAATGATCACTAGGCCCAATAAGACGTAGTAAAAGTTACTACTGGAAGAGAGAGGTGCCGCTCTGGTTAGGGGCCAGTATCAAGCAACATCTCCAGCTTGTTACTCTCTAACTGCCTATCCAGGATGCCACCTTTCCTACCTAGGCAACAATTCTATCTCCTACTCTCCAACTGCAACAGTGGTTAGTGATGGAAAGAAACTGTAAAAATTAAAGATCTGAGAGGATAATTTCAAGTGCTATGTGGCTGGCAAAAGATTTGTGAGAGAGATGGAGGACATCAAGGACTGAAGAATTATGAAGGTACAGGGCCAAAAGAGCCAACATGGATGCTGAAGTTGCTAAGAACAACGATGGGATGAGGAACTGATTCTCAAATACAAGTGAGGAAAGGAAAAGCATAATTTGGTAAAAGTATATTAGATATTATAATAATAATACTAATTTTAGAAAAATTTTCAGATAGATTTTGATAATACAAATTACAGAAAGTGAAGCTTAACAAATCTAAGTATCCTAAGCAGCTCAGAACCTTTTCTTCTTTAAAAGAAATAAGATGCCAATTATACCTCAATTAATAATAAAATAAAAACACTATTCTTATCAGAATCTGAGAGACAAACAGAGAATCTTATGCTAAGCAACAGCGACCATGGATTTTCCAAAGGTTGATAAAGAATAAAGAGAAATCTTAAGATAACTAAATTTGTTACTGTGAAGATAAATAAAGGAGACACGTTTGAGAAGGGTGGTATGAGCTTTCAAGAAAAAGTGGCTGTTGAAAGACAAGGAAATCAGAAGATGCCAACCTCAGTTCTAACACAGGGAACCTACAGGAGAAACAACCTTCTCTGGGAGAGAAATCCAGTTTTCAGAAACAGCTTCCACGCTACAGATGTGAATATAAATTCTATGACTATGCAATCCCTCTCATTATTTCTACAGAAAATAAAGCAAATGAAGTTTTCTGTTCATTACTTAATTAAATCTATAATTTAAGATGCATCTAAAATGCATCACCAAAAAGCATTAAAGTATCCATTAAAATATACCAGACCAATCAGGTTGTTCATTGGAACCACAAAACACAAACATATGTTTTGAGTGATTATTTTCTCAACTCTCCAAGAAATTTTCTCAATTTTTCAAATACATTTGGTATTTGTCATACATTTTCTCAAAAATTGGTCAGTATAGGGCCAGCCAAGTGGCACATTGGTTGGGAGTTGGCTTGGGACGCCAGGTCTGAGCAGTAGGGCCCCAGTTCGGATTCCACATGAGGGCCAGTGACGCTGCACCCTCTACAGCTAAGATGGTGAACAACAGCTCGACCTGGAGCTGGACTGCCATGAGTTGCCGGTGACAGCATAGGCTGCAGTGGGGCTGGCCAGCAGCAGGCATGCACTTTCATGAGCTACCATGAGCCACCGTGTGGAGCCGTCCAATGGCCTGCGAGCGACTGCCTCACCCGGGAAGAGCACAATGATAATACCAACATGGGCCAGTGAAGCCACATCCTCCACAACTAGACTGAAGAACAAAAGGGCAGCAACTTATCTGTTTCCCTTCCCTGATTCCCCAGCACTCTTCCCCTCCCCCAATTTCCCAATAAAGTCTTTTAAAAAATTTGATAAGTGAGGCTGTCACCTGGAAAAAAATTGACAGTATTTGTTGCCAGTGCTAAATTTTGAGCTTTCAAGCAAACGTTAAAATTTTTGAAAACTTGTATCCATTACCATGAGCTTTACAGCTTCCTAATAAGTAAAGATTTTTCTGTTGATCAGTGGTGATATATGATTTTTTTTAAATATTGTATAATGAAACATGTCATTATTTGAGAGATACACATTCTTCAGTGAAGCAATATCTCCCAAATGATCATTTCATGATATTACAAAGTCATGCATGGGGTAAATGATCCATACAAAGTGCAATAGGTTTTAATGCAACAGAAAATTTCACTTTAAGGTATCACATGCCATACTGCAATTAACCCTTGATTTCTTAATTAAAACTGTTCAGGTTTTGGTGTAATATCAAAGAAGATTATGCACAATTATCTAAAAAAGCTATTAAAATAGCCCTCCCTTTTCCAGCTACATATCTATGCAAGCCAGGTTTCCTTCATATAATTTAACCAAAACAACATATCACAATAGATTGAATGCAGAAGTAGATATGAAATCCACCTATCTTCCAATAAGCTAGGTTTCATGTATGGTGTTCGTTTGTTTGTTTGTTTGTTTTGAATCCTCAACAATGTTTAAAGGGGTCCTGAGAGCCACTGCCTTTAGGACATTAGGGCTTAATTCAATCAGGGAGCCTAGTACAGCAAGACTCTATGAGATTTAGCATGAAGACATTTACACACAGGCAATAGCCAGGTTTAAATTTCTACGACAGATAACAATGCTGGATTGTAATTCCACTCCTTCAGGACAAACTAAATACCACCTGAGTGATATTTGAGCACAATTCCCTTCCTCTTCCTCACTATGTCTCTGTTCTAAGGTCATATTTGCTCACTAAATCACATCTATTTTATTTCTTACATTCTCACTTTCCAGCAGTATTTTGTAAAACATCCCATCTATGTATTTCTTCTTAACTGGTCCAATTATATAGTCATGCAATTGCTCAGTTCTAAAATCACTAATTTTGGGGCAGGCCAAGTGGCTCAGTTGGTTAAGAGCTCGCTCAAGAGTTTGAGCTCTGAGCAACAGCGGTTTGATGCCCGGCCCAAGCTGAGCTGCCGCTGAACTGCCAACAGGTGGCAGGATGGCTCAGCTAAAAAAAATTAAATAAATAAAAATAAATAAATAAATAATAAAATAAAATAAAATCACTAATTTTAGTACAAAATTTGCCAGGGTTGGTTCCATATCCAACAATGATATATCTGAAATAAAGTCGTTTTTACAAACTAGCTTTTTATAAAATGCCATTATTTGATAAGCACTCTCTCCCCTATTGTTTGCATAAAAGCATAAACCCAAGTGAATATGACACAAACACTATATTAGCATGCAGACTTAACATACTAGTCATTATATATTTTTTTAAAGTCGTGCAAGAGACCATTCTAAACAAATGTATCATTTTTCAGCACAATTTATAATCAGTGGTAGTTTAAATAATGTCTCATGGTACAACTAAAAGCAAAACAAAGCAGTATATGACTTTAACCTAGTTTATGAAATATACAAGCCCACAGTACTTTAAACGGCTTTATCTATGATAGTTTTCAATATTCCCATTTTAGTCCTTTTATAGATACCTAAAGTGAAAAATAAGTAAAACTGAGTTCCTCCCAATCAGATGTATTTGTTAACAATTAAATGTATCTCCTACTTTTTTTCAGTTGTAAAATCCTCAGTGAAGTGTCAACTACTTCTGATGACTAGCGTTGTATTAGACAAATAGCTTAACCTCTCTGATCCTCAATTTCTCATCAATAAGATGAGGGGTATGGGCTAGAAAACTACAAGACCCTTTTCTAACTCTAAAAGTCTATGAGTCAATTAAAAATGATTGGGCTTCCAAAATATTAAGACTACCAGAGAACAGCAAGAAGAAAACTTGCTTGTATTTATATTTAAATCTAAAACGTTTTTTACCAAGTTAATTTGGCAAGTTATCCCCAGCTTTAAGGAGTGGGGGTTGAGGAAGTTCAAGTGGAAACGCTAATTCGACACTCTAGTGGTTAGATGCAGGTTTACTATGACTTTTCCTTTCCCACCAAAACGGGGAAACACTAAGGCCGAATGGAAGCAGAACAGGTAAGATTGGTCCTATCTGAAAGCTTAACTCTTATTTGTAATCAAGGCCCAAGGCATAAGCTTTACTTGACTTTTCTCCTTTTCCCCTTTAACTCCCAAGGCCGAAGTACGGGTGGCCAAATCACCTCGGTTCAAAGTCTAGGGCATTTCAGATCTGGCAAGGAATGAACCAAGAAATCCAAGTGCCCAGAAGCGGCGAAGAGCTGGGATGGGGAAAGCAGAGAGCCCGGAGGCCTGGGTGGGATGCTGGGCGAGATGCTCCAAGCCCGTTTCTCCCTCAACTCCCCACCCTGATCCAGGGGAGCTGGGTGAAAGGCCCCGGGAGAAAGAAGCGGAGGGTGGTGGGTAAGAGGGTGACAGATTCAGGGCTCAAGGTTGCCCCGCCGGGTGCGGGGGCGCTCCGCCTGACCCAAGGCACCGAGAGGGCAAAGCCGGCACCACCCTTGAGACCCCCGCCCGCCCAGCCTCCCGCCAGCCAGCCAGCCAGCCGGCCGCCGCACAGCCGTCCCTCCCCCGATTCCCTCTGAGGCCCCCAGAGAAGCCGAGAGAAGGTAGTCCTGAAGTCGGTCCTTACCACAGTATCCCCCTACGAGACCCGCGCCTGTCGCAGACTCGGCCTTGCAAAATCAGTCCTATTCGCCGAGCTAGAGCAGCCGTGGCAGTGCAATCAAGGCCGGCGCCGCCCCGCCTCCGGCCTCAGAGCACAACTCCGCGGGGTCAACATGGCTGGTGCCGCCTCTGCCACGTCAAGGGGGCGGGGCGTGAGGAGAAAGGGGCGGGGACGAAGCGGAGGGGCGGCGCGACCCGGCCAGGAAACTGAACGGGAAGGTGAGGACGCCGGCGGAATCGACCTGTGGGTGGGGACATGGAGAGAGGAATGGTAGGGGCGGTAACCAAGCTGGAGGTGCAGAGCCACTGGGCCTGGAAATTGAAGGGCGCGGTGCGGAAGCCGACGAATCGGGCCCGGGGGCGGGGACGAGAAGGAGGGAGGAGAGGGGAAGGGGCAGGGACGCAGCTGGAGGGGCGGGGCGACGAAGACAAACCCGACGGAGGAACGTGGGTGGGGCGTGAGAGCTGGGCGGAGTTGGAGCTCGACAGTGAGTCTGCGCAGTTGCGCGCCTCTCACTTCTCCCCCAAGCCACGACGGATCCCGCTCTCCGCGGGCCCCAGGAAGAATAGAATTTTCGTGGCCACTCAGACTCTTCTGCTCGTCAAGAGAAAAGGAGATATCCTCTAGGACATTCTCTCCTCTAAAGCCCTGATTGATTCCTAACTACAAAGCATATCTCCCCTTAAAAAATAAAGTGAGAAGTTATTTCTTTCACTTAGTGCGACAGATGTTTACTGAACATCTAATGTGTGCCAGGCACTGTTGCAATGCTAGTGATACGACGTTAAGCAAAACAGGCCAACATTCTGGGCCTGTAAGAATTTACATACTATTGGTGTATTCCTAGTCAGTTTATCTCTTTCCTTCTACAATGCCTTGGTCACCCCTACACACACACACACACACACACACACACACACACACACACACACACACCAATCTTTGGCTGATTAATCTTTTAAGCAATTTTTCCAAGAAAATTGCTGAGCAAAATGGGACAGAAACAGATTGGCAAGACATTTGATCTTGGCGGCCTCAGACCAACCCCATCCTTCAGGGAGGGATTGTTCACGGAATTAATTCCCGATATGCCAATAGCTGGAATCTTGGAAAGCTTAGCCCTAGAAGCATTTTACAAAATAGGAGAAATGATCAAATCCTTGTTTTTCAAAGCTTATATTCATGAAAAATAAAATACGCACCAAACATTTTTCTTTCTATAATGTGTATGCTAACGTTGTTTTGTAACGTAGAAGAGGATGAGTTTGCTTGTCAAAATTTTTAATACAAACCTGAAGAGGAACTGGGAATCAAAAGCCAAAATTTATAGAGGCAAATAAGTAGACTCAGGGGCTACCTTAATGAGGATTTTTGACTGAAAGCACAGCAAGTAAATTGCTGTGAATCCAAGAAGTACGGTAAATAGACACAGATGAGAGGATCCTCAAGGATCCTGGAATTCAGTGAGGATAAACCAAAACATATAGCACCTTCGGAAATTTTGTTCATTTCATGGTCCCCATTATGGCATCTTTTTCATCCAGCTCGGTTAAGACTAAGAAGTCATAATAGCTTTGTTTTCAGGTGAATAAAGGCTTTCATTCCCTATTACAGTGAAATAAATGTTAGGATGGGTAACAAATTCATTTATATCTGTCTTTATGTACTTTGAGGTGAATGAGTTTCAGAGTTAAACCCTTAGATGTATCCAGGATCCACTGTACCCACCTTTATTTTTCTGGGCTTTTTTATTTTTTTGCTTTTTTTTTTTGTAGTTCCATTTGTAAGAATTGATATTTCATGACTTTTATTCTTTCTTAGATGTTTTCCAAAGAACAAACAGAAAATCCATAGAATTTTGTTGAAGACAGGACAGCCGTCTTCTTTGCTTGCTCCCTAATTGTAAAACATTTATATTTTTAGTTTTATAAATGACCAATCCAAATAATTTTTAATTTCTAGGTTATCTATTTCCTTCCCATCATTTTTGTATATACAACTTCCACTAGCATTTGTCCACTTCAGAATCATATCAAGTAAAATTATCCAGATAAACATACAGGATGAAAATACTGTAATATGTGCCCTTAACAAAACAAGATTGTCACAGTTTCTTCATCTGAAAATGAAAATAGCAATAGTACCTACCACTTAGGATAACAATATATTGTAATGATTAAATGAGAAATCTATATAAAACATTTAGCCCTGAGAAAGAGAAAAGGAGCCTCTGAGAACCTAAAACTGGCCAGGCTCTCTCAACTGGGCCTACCTGTTGTTAGGAGCTGTCCTGGCATTCACAGTCAAGTCACGCTGTTTTCCTATTGAATGTAAACCATTTCACAGCACACCAACATCAGACAAGGCCACTCAGTGATGCTGAAGGATAAAGACAAAAACAAGACCACTCAGTAATCATGTCTGAACTCAGATAAAATCAGAAAGATTGTCCAAACCACAGAATAACCATACACCTCCCTAACATGGCTAATCTGAGAGACTGCTGCTTCTTTACCAATTAATACCACTAGTTTCCTTCTTTCTTGTACCTTCTATATAAAAATTATTAAGATACTTAATGAGAATTTGTCAAGTGCTCAGAGTCAGATGAGCTGGATGGAAAGCTGGACTGCCAGGTGTCAGATAAGGCAATTAAAGCAACAATGAGCCAAAATGGAAGAAATGGTGAAGCCTCTTGTTGAGATTGCATAAGCAAGAGTCTAAACCTGGTGAAAGTGCCTACTCCTCCTGTTCCATCACCCACATGAAATGGTACACTGGTTGAGGTTCAAGTGGGCGGACACAAATGTGGAGGTCTGGAGATTTCTCACTGCTAAAGAAGCCCCAAACAAAAAGCTCCCGCAGATTTATAGAATGGGGATAGAGAGGTGTTAGGAATGGAAAAGTACTGGGAACTGAGTCAGTCTGGAAAAGTTTCCAGATAAGGAGACCTCCAAATGGAGACACCTTGGCTAGATATGCAGCTATGCATAAGAGCATGGGGAGTCAGGGGGCCTGAGTCCTTGACTGCAACTCCCTTCAGAGTGCTGGGTGCACCAAGTCTGGTGTGGTGGGGAGGGCAGTTTTCCTGTGAAGCCTGCCAGGTAAAGCCTTTGTAATTGCTTATGGTCAGGCCTGAAAAATCACACATAGGTTTTTAACCAGGAGACTTACTGCTCAGAATTATCCCCATTTCCTGACAGCAAAGCTCCACTGTCCCCAAATCACCAAACAAAGCCCAAATCCTATAATAAATAAGTTAGTTCTAACACCCTCTTACTGAGACACCTCCCAGTTTCAGTAATCATGTGACTACAGGAGTGTTCTGGTGGTAAGAGGATGCTCTATAAGTATTAACTATACACAGCCACATTTCTCAGAACACTGTCCAGCAACATCCATCCCCTACTTTCTATGCATCAAGCATATTGACCTTTTTCCAATTTTTCCAAACTACCTACTTCCTCCAGCAATAAGGCCTTGCACAAACTTTTCCCTCTACCTGCTGATACTAAATATACAAATGGACAATGGCCAGACCATAAATATAAAACTAGAACTCCGACTCACAGTCTGCAGCAACCATCTTAGGAAACCAAACTATTGTTCTCCAGTAACTAGCCTGGGAAGCCAGCCTTCTACAAGATGAACTTGTAGGTAGGCAGACTGGTATCTCCAGCAACAATCCAAGAGGCCAAACAATAATCCCTGTGATAATTGTCCCAAAATAGCCAGGACTTGATTAATAATTGACAGATGTCCTAATTTTTTCCCCCTGCTTCCAATTTAGGATCAATGAAAGAAAACCAAACATTCACCCCTAACCAATTTCATAGGCTGTCCCACTTCTAGGTAGGAGTTCAGAATATGCCACCCCAAAATATGCCACTTTGACGTAGTAATTATTTTGAGTTAAAGGTACTTGGAAAACAACAGATGCAAGAAGGGTGCTCTGATCTTTCTTTTTTTTTCCCTGAAAGCAGGAGATAAAACAAGTGAAAGGTGCACCCCTCTATACCAGAGGAGGGAAAACATTCTTACCATCAGAAATGTAACTGGAAATCTTTGAAAACCGCACCAGAAGTAGTTCAGAATCTTAGGAGTGCTTCCTAGGGAGAGCTTAGATGAAATAGCTATTGTTTTAGTTCAGCTTTCCAAAAATTAAGGTTTCTTTTCAGAATAACTTCATCAACCAAATACAGCTACTCTTCAGCTGTCCCATATCTTACTGAAACTATCAAAAACACTTAATGCAATTTCCAACTTATAACCATATTAAAATTTGTTCCAAAACTCATTACTAATTCTTTTAAGTCAGATTAGTTTTGAAGTAGCAGAAAGCAATCCTTATATATTTTTAATTTACTTTCCTCTCTCCTGAATGAATTCATGCTTGTGTTTAAAATTTTAGAATCATTTCAGAATCATTCATGTACTTTATTACTCACTTCTTTTGGGAAATAATTTATTATTATTTCCCAGAACAACCTTTGTTCATTCTGCTATTCCTCTCCTTTCTTCCTTCATTCATTTGTTGTTCTGCCATGTACCTAACAGTCCTATACATGGAGTCCAGTGTTAAGCATTGTTCCACTGGTGATTGGTCTACTTGGTAATTACCTGTTCTTTATTTCCAGAAAAATGGGGGTGGAGGGGTGGGGAATTGCTAATAAGTTAGAAAAGTATTTATAAGAAAACCCAGGGCCGGCCGAGTGCTGCGTTGGTTAAGAGCTGGCTTGGGACGCCAGAGGGCCCCGGTTCGGATCCCACACATGAGGACCAGTGACACTGCCCTCCACAGCTAAGATGCTGAACAACAGCTCAACCTAGAGCTGGGCTGCTGTGAGTCGCCGGCTAAGGCGTAGGCTGCAGCCCCTGCTGCAGTGGGGTGCCATGGGCTATTGTGTGTAGCCAGCAGCCGCAGTGAGTGGCCATCCAGAAGCCGGCGACTGATCTGCCTTGCCTGGGAAGAGCGCAATGATGGTTCCAACTTGGGCCAGTGAAGCAACGTCCTCCACAACTAGACTGAAGAACAGAAGGACAGCAACTTGTCTGTTCCCCTTCCCCCAAATCCCCAGCGCTGTTCCCATTCCCCAATTCCCCAATAAAAATCTTTAAAAAAAAAGAAAACCCAGAAATAAAGGCACTGCTTATTTTCTCTAATTTGTTCTTGATTATTACCAAAAAGTTTGGGGATGGGAGTATTTCTCCATATTCCTTCCCTCTAAGTCTATTTCTTCTAAAATCAGCAACATTTTTATCCAAGTAACTTCTAGTTTGACTGCTGTGAGGCAGTGTCTTTCCATGTCTCCCAATTGTTTAGTAACCATTCATACACACTAATTCTTTAGTTTTTAACCTAAGGACTGTCCTCACTTTATCTTCAATTAAGTAAGTTACATTCTGGTTTCTAAATCAATTGCTAAAGGCAGTGCTTAAAAAAAAAAGCTTTAATCATAAATATAAACGTTAGAAATAAGTCAATTGTATTCACTCATAGCTTGTGCAGAAAGATTGAGATATAATGCTTTCATTGTTTTTTGCAATTTGTGACCCAGCTAAAGTTAAACCATTTCTGCTTTGTTTGCTCACGTGTAAAATGGGAGACAACAGTACTCCTCACAAGATTGGCCCTAAGATTAATAATGGTGATTTCCGGGTTTTGGCATTAGCTTTTATCTTTTGCACTACTTATATTTAAGCAAAGAGATCTTCCTGAGAAAAAGAAGAAAAAGCAAGGACTACTCTAAGAGTAATATTCATTTCAGATAAATATAAAGTGATCTTTGAAATAGCCAAGCACAAGAAATTCCTCTGGAAAATTAGTTTTTTTGTTCATTCGGCGTCAGATAAATCTGGGTTGGAATTGGCTCTTCCCCTTTGGGAGAAAGTCACAGTTGCAGTACTTAACCCTCTTTTGTTCGATTTCCTCCCTTACAAAACCGGTATAAAACCACCTATTTCATAAGGTTGTAAAATCAAATGAGGAAATGTATGTGACCTGTCTACCAGGATTTAAGAATTCAGAGATCAACAAATGATAATTACTCATATTGCTCATTAATTCAAAAAACACTTAAGAATCCCTCGCTACTAGGGATGCGTAAAAGTTAGTAAGGTCTGTCTTTACCCTACCTAGCCTTAGAAGAAAGAACAGAGGGGAGCAGAGGGAACACGCAGAAACGCCTCAGAACCATTCCTGCGAGGAACTAAATTCGCAGTCTTCCTTACACCACCGGAGCCTTAACCTTGAGACAATCAGCAGGGTTGCTCATGCGCAATTACACCCCATAAGCCTTGCCGCTTGCTCAACTCTGCGCCGAAGGTGCCTACTTGTGCGCCTGCGCTGTGACCTAAACGTGCGACTGACTGGATTGGAAACTATGGCGTGGTTATCGGCGGAGTCTGCAGTGGAAGAGTTGATGCCCCGGCTGTTGCCAGTGGATCCCTGCGACTTGACAGAAAGTTTTGATCCCTCCGCACCCCCGAGGACG